ACCACCACCACCACCACCCCCGACCAACAGTGGAACATGGCCAAGCCAACAGAAACTACTGACTGAGCGAGTGATACCTGATCTGAGACAGAGTTCTCCAACAGTAACGCACAATATAAATCCAGGGCTGTTCACAGCGGTAAAGAAAACATGACACATTTCCTAAAAATAAGCTGGGAAAAGACCCAGAGCTCCACAGTGGACAGCTTTACTCAGGATTATTTTGTTAGTCATTACAGAATTAATGGTCTCAGTCCCAGTGGTGGAGAAAGTACACTGTATTTAAGTAAAAGTACAGATAAACAGACAAAAATGTACTCTAGTAAAAGTACTACATTAACATTTTTACATGAGTAAAAGTAAGTACTTGCTTTTAAAAATACCTGAAGTATTAAAAGTACTTGCTTAATGTATTCCCTAATGGTCTACAATATCATGTAGTGTGCCTACTGTATGTATATTTTTAATGGTGCCATTTTAGTGAACGATGCTGCAGATATTGCATGTTTTTGTTTACCCTCTGTGACACTGTTCACACTTGTGATTCTGCACATCACAGATTGTGACAACAACTACAGAAGCTGTAAATCCACCACCAACGTCCTTTATCAAATCTCAACAAGTCGTTTTTTGAACCAGTTAACTTAAAAAAAACCATAATGCGACGTGACATTTGTAATTCAACGCATTACAGAAATTTAGCAGAGTAAAAAATACAGATACTTAATGTAAAATGGAGTAAAAGTCAAAAGTACCCATGATGAAATTTACTTAAGTACAGCAACAAAGCACTTGTACTTTGTTACATCCCACCACTGCTCAGTCCGTTTAGCTACATATAGGCTGAAGTACTATAATACAGCAAACAAAACTCTAATAAGATTGTGTTTTCATTAGAGCCTTATTAATTGAACTTAATCTATTATATATTTATTTATGACGGTTTTCCTCCTCAGTGTTTAGTGTTGTGGTAGCTGATCCGGTCACACACAGTACATGTAAAGTACATATGAACCACAGCTGTGGAGTACTGACTGAGGATGCTTCCAGATTCCCTGAAACTAAAACAAAACTAAAACTAAACTAAAAAAACCACCATTTTTAAACCCCAAAGTGCCTACAGAAGCAGTACATTTTCCCACGACAATCAAGTTTAAAGCGTTTTATTTAGGTTATAAAACTTTACGAGCTGCTTTGGTTTCTCCATGATGAGTTTTACTTTTGTTTCAAGTGATTTTACTTTTGTTTCAGTGTAATACCAAGTGATTTTTTAATGCTTAACTTTGAAAAAAAAAAGAAGCTAGAATTTAGAAGATTAGATCTTCTCCATTTCCATCTTCTGCTAGGCAACAGGTGCAGAACAGAAACCCAGATCTCTCTCTCCCCCTGGGTGATCCCAAGGTGTTCCCATCCCAGACAGGATATAATCCCAGGATAAAACCTCAGAAGAGAGGCATACAGAGCTGTCCTAATCTGATGATCAAACCACCTCAAATGACTCCTTTTGATGTGAAGGAGCAGCGGCTCTAATCCAGCCAGGTAAAAACCAGGCCCTTGTCCTTCACTTTGCTTCGTACGAGTGTCTGGACTCTCTGCTATAGAGAAGTGATTCTTGCTGGAGGCGTGGCCTCTGTTGAAGCTTAAAATGATTGGATCGGTTGGCTGCGACATATGTCGCTGTGAAGGAGGCTAAGCTAAGAAGCTAACCGGAAATCGCGTGCGCTGTAAACAACCCCACTGAGAGGAGAGAAGTACTGAACCGAACGAAACGACTAAATGAGAGCTGCCGCTTTGTCAGACAAATTTCATTTAATTTGAAAGCCTTATCAACACGGACTGGCTCATTCACTTCCTCCACTGCCTTATGCTAAAATAACTAGCAGACACTGCGCAGAAAATCAACGTTGTATTCTCTGATTGGCCCGGACAATAATTCTCCTGAAGAAATCCTTGTCAGTGGGAGAAATCCCAGACGGAGCAGTGAAGGGAAACTAGAATTGAGCGGAACTGTAGGAAGGTAAGGGCCAAGCTAGCTCTAATCTGGACTCGCTCAGGAATGACGGACACCACACCTCATCTCCAAGGCTGAGCCCAGCTCCACTTCAAAGATCCAACTCCTGCTACAAGACACCCAGGACCTTGAACTCCTCCACTTGAGGCAAATAGACACACTTTACCCAGCACGCTAACATTTTTGGAAACCGTTGTAATATGTTCCCATTAAGGTAAGATTTCAACTGCCCCTCCCTGCTCAGCACTGAATCACTGTCCCTCAAGTTAACGAAACAAAGGAGTCATCACTTCTGTAATTTGAATGAATAAGCTGAGCTTCTTTATTTAGCAAAAGGCTGTTCAATATTTAACTGTGCATAGTTTGCATGCTTTACAAGAATCTGTAACAATGGGCGTTGCCATGGTGGGGATCACACTAAAATGGTCAAAGAGTGATAAGGAAGGGAAAACAGGCCCACAAGCTCTCCCTCTGAACACATAAAACCCAAGAATGGCACATGACATCTCTGCTGTTGGAGACTCCTGCACAGTTCCACTTAAAACCAATTTATGATTTTTTTTTAAGGAACAAATACAAATACCAGCGGTAACACAGGAAAACAGGATTCAAGGAGAGCCGAGGAGAGCTCCCATTTACTTTTAACAATGTGCCATTGAAATAAGTGCAACATGAGTCACAAAGACATCAGTCTAGGAGCTTTACCTACACACTACTCCTCAAATAATCTGCAAACTCCTTTTTCCTTGGGCATCTTAGCCCTGTAATAAACAGAGCTCTCCAAGCACACAAAGCTGGAGTGTTTGCGATCAAACAGAGCAAAGTTTATAAATTGTAATTTTGACAGAAAACCTGCAGGTTTCTGTACCCGTTTGGATCAAATATAAGAAAAGTTTTCACACTTTTATTCGTTGTGTTTGCTGTTGAGAGTACAGAGACCGGTGTTAACGTCTTGTGCTCCAACAGTCAAATGTAATATTTGAAAGAGATACAAGAGCAGATGACCTTTTTTCTGGAGCCATTTGTGCACCGAGGTTGATAAGAAATGCCTTTCAATAAAGACAAAATAAGGGATTTAAACCCCAGAGGCTAGGTCACATCACTTTAAAGGTTTAGTATACTTAAAACTAAAACAAAAATATGAAGTTTACCTCAACGGCATAAGGATTTCCACTGTCAGTATTCTTCTGTTGTCTTTGAAAATCAATAATGTTTGATAAATGAACTGAAAGACAAAACTGTGATAGATTATTCTGTAAGAAATGATAGCTATGCCGTTTAGAAAGAGAAACACTTTATGAACCGATACAAGCACAAATAGTTGAGTTGGTTCAGGCGTCTGATTAGGACGCCTCCCTTCAGAGGTGTTCCAGACACGTCCCATCGGTAGGAGGCCACAGGGAAGACCCAGGACCCACTGGAGGGATCATGTATCCTTTCTGGCCTGGGAATGCCTCGGGGTGCCCCCCAGACGTGTCGCTGGGGAAAGGGAAGTCTGAGTTTCTCTCCTGGACCTGTTGTCTCTGGGACCCGACTATGAATGAGCGGCAGATGGTGATGAAGACGGAGTAACTTGAAACTGTATTAAAACTAATTATTCAAGGAGTCAACCAACAGGGAGCCATGTTGAAGTCAACTGGTCACTTGGGAGTGTCGTTTCCTCCCATCATCAATGTGTTTCTGGCTCAGTGTAAGTTTCACTCACATTTCCAACCTGGTATTCTAACAAAGCTTTATCAAAGATCTTATTGCTCTAAATTCTGCTTTAAAAAATGGAGCAGCTGACTCTCAGACTGAAGGATCCTAAAGGTAGAATGGGAGGCAGAGCTTCAGTTTGTTTCTTTTCTTGTGGAACCAAATTCCAGTCTATTTTTAATATTACGGTTAAGACGTTTCTTTTTGATTAATCCTATAGTTAAGGTTGACTTGGGTGCAATCTGCTGACTTCCTTGAATAAATGACTTTTACTAATTTGCATATGATAATGCGCTGTGTGTAGGCAAGTATTGTAGCACTTGGAATTAAATTACTTTAATTGGATTTTAATCTAAATCTGAATTTAATTTATGATTCAGACTTTTTTTTTCCTTTTGTACTGTGCCCTGAAGTGACTTCTGTTGTGAAGTGATGCTGGTAAGCCAGCTCTCAGCACTTGCACGATTCATAAAAGTGTAAGAAATACGTGTTTAATATCGGCTGAAGTCAGATGAAAACACAAATGTTAAATAAATTGATCTGTGATAGGAATGAATGTCAAACAACACCAGAATTCTGGATCTGAGTGAGGTTTATTTGTCACCGGCTGACAAGCGAAACCACACTGGATGAGAAACAGGAAGTTCATGTTTTTATACGATTCTTCAATGCCTGAGTTCGCCCCCTACTGACCTACGGCTGAATCACAGGCATTCAGACAAAAACCTCACTCTAATGGTTTAAAAACGGTTCACTTATGTGTTGTTATGATCCGGACATGTATCTACTCTATTTCAGTTAACACATAATAGATCAAACATTATAAAAGTGTTATAAAAAGAAAACCCTAATACTCTGGTGTTGTTTCTAATATCAGTACTAATCTATAATAACTATAAATTTCTTCAAAAGTATGATGCAACTTGATCAAAATCAAAAACACAAAATTATTTAATTAATTATTCTACTGATAATCTGTACTGTAATCTGCAGTGTCGAGGTGGAGCACACCGTGTGGCTACAAGTTGAACCATCACAGAGACGCTTTCATCAACAGATGTTAAGTTCTTTTTATATCTCATGGAAAAATAAAATCAGTCTGATATTTTTGTCCAAAACATTTGCTTTGTGGCAACAGTGTTTCTGTTTTCATATGGTAGTGATGTTCTTTTCCACAGGAACCTACATGAAAAACCAGAGGCCTCTCTAAACAAACCAACAACAAACTTTAAGACGCAGATTGTCACTGTAGTTATCATTGTTATAATATTGCACATATGTTCACCAGAACGATTTAAATAATGGCAGCTGCTTTTACTCTTTCAAAACAAACAAACAAAAGATAAAAAAGAGAATATAATAAACCCCTCTGCATAGGTTACTTATCAAATCTTAATTGTGTTGGTCATCTATGAACTTTCTACGTCGCTGTTTACTCAGATGAGTTCAGCTGTGTGGACATAACGTCTCTGTCACTTTTTCACATAAAGTACACGTGTGCCCAACCAGAAATTTCCAAGCACAGAGCTGAGATGAGTATGACTGAAAGATATGTACTCCTCCTGGGTGGGGCGAAGTGAGTCAGGAGGAATGAGAGTTACGAACCTGTTTCAAAAACACACACAGGGCAACAAACAGCAAGGTGAAAAGAAGACACAACTGAAACATCTCGAGCGTGAAATCCAACAGGTGACTTTCACGCTGCAGTGGTTTATGGTGCTGTACAGGTAAAGGTTTAACAGCTGACCTGTGTCCACCCCAAGCTCCAGCCACATCACAACAAACCTGCTCCTTTATGTGCTTCAGACAACAAAAGCAACATGACCTGACGCACAGGACACACCAAAGATGTGGTGAACATTGGATCAGAGCAGCAAGCCCTTTAAAAAACACACACCCATTTTTTTCTGTTCACATTTATTCTGCATTTATACAAATCAGAGTCTAATAAGAGCATCATTGCAGTTCCTGATTTGTTTAGTCCACTAGATTTTTATATTTTGCTTCACTTGATTTACAATTAAGTTTAATTGGGTGAATAACAAATTGTGTCAGGTGACACAGCCAAATAAAATGTTTGTTTTTTTAGTTGTATGGTGCCAATTAGGATATACCTTTCACATTTAACGTGATTTCTATTAGCTTAAATAGAGGGAATTTTTTTCTAAATTAAAAATAAATGTAGTTAACCAGAATTATTACAACTTTAAACGTTGCCTATAATGTTTATCTCAATATGTAGCAGAACTGAGAATAAAGTGTCAAATCTGAACTGTCACTTACCGTTTTCGGCATTTTTCTGTCTTTTTTCCCCCCTGGGGTTTCCAGAAAATAAAAAATAAAATAAAAAAAATCAAAGACTTGCGCTCCGTGTGGCTGCTGTTCTCACGGAGCCTTCCTGAAACGGGAGAGAAGAAGAGAAACGAGTTTGAGCCTCTGTGCGTTACTTAAACCCTGCAGACGACAGATGAATCACCAGGGAAATTACCACAAGCTAACCGTAGCTAGTTAGCTCTGTGCAGGAAGTTATTATTTGCCTTCAAAATAAGAGCGCGCGTGTAATCTTAAAATTCTCTCATTGTAACAGAAATATTTACTCTAATCAAACCTATCTGTTTTATATCTCTATTTATACGAGATTATTTATGTTAATAAAGCGTTTCATTTTTTATTCTTATCTTATATCTTTAACTGATACATGATTTGGTTAACATTAGGAACAGCACACTGCAGGTTATTTTGGACAGGTAAGGCTGCTAACCCCATTTTTATGGGCTGTAGGTGGTTGTAATGTTTAGCACACAAACAATCACAACAGGATTCATATGGCAAATTTTGTCAGCTCAGTTATATCAAAAATTACCATCCTTTCAAAAGTACAATATATCTGACCATGTATTTCTTCATTCATAGTATTTTGACACGTTTTCTGTTTTCCCTACTTCCTACAGCTTTATATAAATTTTGAGTTATGTAAACTGATTAAACATATTTAACTCAACAGACTGGAATGACAAACAATTGCTAGCTGATTTTTAAAACAAATTTAAATTTCAAACGCGATATTCGGACTTTTATTTTGAAAACTGTTAACAGGAAGTCGAGCAGAATCTTACCTTGACACTTTATTACATCGTAGGTTAATTTGCTATTTAATGTGCCTCACCCTCCCACAACCGCAAACTAAACGTTTTATCTCCACCGACTTTGTTTGGTTGAATAATTTGGTTCAGTAATGACGTATTCTTTCGCCAACAAACCCACACATTAGTGATTTTTTTTAATGAATATTCAACTGTTTCGCCAATTAAAGTGGTTTAGGGGGGAACTATGCATTATTTTGCGTCTTTAACATAAAAATATTAACAGTTTTCTATCGAAATGTAGCCGTGAGTTTACAGAAATGTGTCGATGTAACGATCTGCTGAACATATTTCTTCAGGGAGGGTTGTACACACCCACAGCGGGAGGAAACTCCTACACATTCACCTTTTCAACACATTTAAAAAAAAAATTTACAGCCGAGAAAAATTCATAAATAATTTAAAGTCAGTGAAATCGAGTGGTAGTGTTGCTCCTTTTGAGCAGTTTTTATTAGAGATTGCGTGCGCACCATCCTCTGTAATCACAGACACCTGTTCGGCTCCTCCCCCTCGCAGAGAAGTGCGCGAGGACAGAAAAAAGTGCGAAACTTTTTCTTCTTCTTCTTCACGCGGAGCTTCAACCTGAGTTGTACCATAAAGTCCAAATCTCACCGTTTCAGATCTGAAGGTGACACGGTGGTGGTTTGAAGCGGGCAGCCGCAGATTTTCCTGTTCAGCCAGGCGCAATATGGCGCCTGGACATCCCGCAGAGAGGAGCAGCAGGAGGCAGGAGACCAGCTGAGGAGGTCCTCCTACTAAACTTTACCTCTCTGCAGTGGTCTGGACCCAACAGAGGGGTCATGAAACACCAGGTCATGGTCCTCAAAAACTCTAGTGCTGAGAGATGCAGAAGCTGAAGACGATTACAAGGCTAGCTAAAAGTAGCCAAAAGTTAGCTAAATGCTAAAAAAGCTAAGGCTGCCTAAACTGTCAATAAGCCAATTATAAGCCAAAACAGCAAAGGCTAACTAATAAAAGCAACAAAAGGCTCATAAATACTAAAGAAAAATCAGACTGTAAAAAGCTTAAATTAACAAAACACTAGCTAAAATTAGCAGAGCAGTTGCAAGAAACTAGTAACTTACCCCAAAATTAACTTTTTTTAGCTGATAAACTGTCTAGAATGTGTCTAAAATGTTATATAGTACTGTTTCTGTGCTAATTTTGATGTTTTTGTGCGTATTTGTTCAAATCTAATATTTCTAAAAACGTCTTTTTGCTGCTCATATGGGTAGAGCAGTGGTACTGCAGGCTAATTTGCATATTGGTTAACGGCTCTCCACGGTGACGTGTCTTCTGCACGGTTTCGTCACAGCGGCTGTGTTCTGGTATAAAAGCCTCTCTCTAAGACACGCCCCTGCAGCAGTCAGAGGGTGGAACAGTTAGCAAGCTTAGCATGATCGTCTGTTGACCTTCAGCCTCGGGTGGGGAGAGCTGACTGCTGCGCTGCTCTCTAACCACACACACACACACACAGAGAGAGAGAGAGATAGAGAGAGAGAGAGAGAGAGAGAGAGAGAGAGAGAGACCAGCAGTACGTCCTGCACAGCGGGAGGGGAGGAGGGGAAAGAAAGGCAGCGGGCAGCAACTTGTACAGATTATCTGTAAATTATAAAGATTTGACATCATTTTGCAGGTATACGGACGTATAGAGCAATCTCTCGGATTTTTTCAAGTCTTACGGATATTTTAAAAACCTCATTTCCAAATTTATCTAACATGTCAGAGCCTATAGGATGATTTAAAAACAATAAATAACATCAAACAGCCATCTTCCAACCTGTTCTGCCGCTAGAAATAAGTTACTTTTTCCTCTCTCCTTTCCTCCTGCTTCGCAGCAGCTTTCATGTCCGCAGCTGACAATTATATTCTGAGGTATATTTGAACAATAGTTTTAAATATACAAAGTGAGCTCAGTGTCAAATTATTATAAATAAAGTTAAAAATATTGAAAACTACATGCTAGAAAAAACAAAAGTCACCTAAATGAGCTAAACGTTTTGATGAATGAATGGCGAATCAATCATTCATTGATCAGTTCATTCATCTGGAGGTTGTTGTTTTCCATAGAAAATTTAAAAAAAGTCATAATTCATCCCTGATTCAGCTCTAAAGTGAGTAGTTCAAATGAAATTTAAACATTATTTATATTTGAGTAAAGTGAATTGATGAGAGACGTGAACATCAGCTGTCAGTTTAATCTGGGATTATGCTGGAAGAGAACAAGAAAACTAATCAGTCGGCTGTGTAGAGGTGTCACCTCCATGAAGAGTTTGTTGCATCACCACAGAAACTCGGTTTGGGGAAGTGTGCGTCACCATCCAGCTGAGCTGAGGAAGGAGGGGTCAAAGGTGAGTCGACCAATGGCAGGTCAGGATTAAAATAGAGCCGTATAAATGAGTTTACCTCTCAGGCACAGTGTGATGAGACGGTCCTGCACATCACCACACATCTTTTTTTCTTTTAACAGAGCACCTCATGATCGTTTTTTCTGCTATTCCACTAAAAATAAAACCCTAAATTTAAGTTTAGCTTTAAAACTACAACAGAGCAGCGGCAGTGGCTTTATGTTTTTTTTCTGGGTGGAGGAATGAAACAGCAGGGATCCATGCAAAACATTTTTTTAATTTCCCTGTTAGAGCGCCCAAACAAACTGTCGAGAGATGCCAAATGCAAATCGATAAAGTCAGAGGATGTTTGGAGTTCTTTAAAACCTGTTTCTGTCTGAACAGTTTTTTTTTTTTTAGATAAATTCTTTAGGTGTTTGCTTTTCTTTTACTGGAATGTTTAAAAGCTGATGTCAAGCAGGAACTAACTTTGATAAGATTTTACATGAACAAATAAAGATATAGGCTGTTTTCATTGGTTATCACACAAATGAGACATGGTAGAAAAGCCAGTTTTATCTTTATTCTGAAGCAACAGGGGCATTCTGTGGGGGTGCTGAAAGTATGGTGTGTCAGTGTCACTTCAAAAAAAATACACTATTTCCCAGAAAATGTGTTTTCAAACCTATAGACAAACACAGTTAAGGTCACTAAACTAAACGTCTTCACGGTTTGCAGAAGTTCAACAATTATGTTTCAGTTACAATTTGTCAATTAATTCTAGTTTAATAAGCATTTAATTGTACATTTCTGTGCTCCACAATTGTCTTTATGAGTCAGACTCTGTCTCCAGATATTTAACCTCCAGTCTTTGTTGAGTGACTTCATTGATGAGAGCTGAAACAGACACAACAGTTTATTTAATGACCTCTGTAATGTTTGCCTGTCACCACTAGATGGTGATCAAGCTGCATGTTTTAATTGTGATGTTTGTTTATTTGACAGAAAAGACGCAAAACATCAGTATTGTATAAAGTACTTCAAAGTGATACACGAGTAAAAGTACAAGTACCTTATCATAAAAATACTTTGGTAAAAGTTAAAGTCTTCTCTAACAATATTACTTGAGTAAAAGTCTTAAAGTATTTGATATTGTTGTACTTAAGTATCAAAAGTAAATTTCTGACACAAAATCTACTTAAGTATTAAAAGTAAAAGTACTGAGTAAAAGTGAGCAGTTAGATTTTCCAAAATGACATTTACTGGGAAGTGACTTCTCCAAAAAATATATTTTCTAACAGCGTGCAGCTGTGATGGGTTGTGTACAAGCTAATATAGTGTGTCAGAATGGTAWATATTTATACTTCTCATCCAACCACAATTAAATTCACTCTATCCAGGAGACACTATTTATCAGGATAATATTTTTTCTAAGTAATAACAACTCAGAATAAAATAGGAGTAACGACTTTCTACTTCTTACCCTTTTAAAAAAAATGTGAGGAGTAGAAAGTAAAGATAATTGTGTAAAAATGTAATGAGTAGAAGTAAAAAGTACACTGAAAAATAATTACTCAAGTAAAGTACAGATAAGCAAAATTTCTACTTAAGTACAGTAACAAAGTATTTGTACTTAATTATTTTACAACTCTGCAAAAAATTGAATATTTTGCTATTTAACCCACAAATAAGCCAATAGTGTTCCAAAGCTGTTATAGTTTTCTTTTTCTATGAATGCAGGTAACTATTAGTTTGAATAATTGTGTGCTATTATGGGAAATAGAATAAAAAAATGTAAACGAAGTTTGCACAAATGAAGATTCTGGGGTCTATTTTAAGAACAATAAAATAAATCAAGCAGTAAATAATTAAAGTGGATCAAAATGATCTTACTGTCCAGCAGTTCTCTGCATGTGTTGCTCTTCTCTAAGTTGTTGTGAACCTTAGCCATCAGTCGTGGGAGGAAATTCATCTCAATATCTGCAAAATCAGAACCGCAGGTGTCAGAAATGTTGAAACCTTCCCGAGTTGAGGTGGACGGCGTGTGTGCAGAGTCGTGCGGCGATGCCCTCGTGTGGCAGAACGAAGGAAGCTGAAGAGGCTCACCTCTCTCCACGGGGTCGTAAAAGTAGCCGCGGTCCCTCAGAGAGCTGAAGACTGCAGGCAGGAGGCCGGCCAGGTACTGCTGGCAGTAAACACGAGCCGTGATCTTCTCTGCAACCTCTCTCTCCTGCTTCAGCACCTCTCTCTGCTGGGCAATCCTGTGCTTCTACGGGAGGAAAAAAGAGCATTTGTCTCAATCGAGGACGTGCAAACACTTAGATTTAACATCTTTTAAGTTTATGTTTTATTAATCGGGCACTGATTCCACTGAGGCTCTTTTTCAAGGGAGACTTGAAAACACCATTAATATGCAGGATTTTGGTCTGCAGGAGGAAACAGAAGTACCTGGAGAAAACCCACTCAAGCACAAAGAGAACATGCAAACTCCACCCAATCGACTCAAAGCTAGGGTTTGAATCCAGGACCCTCTTACTGTGAGGCAACAGTGCTAACCGCTAAGCAACAGTGCTAACCGCTAATCTGTCATGGTGCCCATGTGCTGTTTTGTACTACATTTCCTCCTTTCTTATGGAAAAAAACATATAAACAAAAATTACTGGCATTTAGGAAACGCAGTGCAAAAACTGCACAAAACAAGCACCTAACTAAGCTAACACACACAGAAAGACAAACTGATTGAGGTCATGCTAACGGACTGAAAAAGCTTCAGTTTGTTTAAGTCCCAGCAGAAGTGTAACACAAAGATGTGGACCTTAAAGGGCCTGTGACGTGCTTATCCTTCAAACACAAAAAGTCAAAGAAAACATATTTATATTTAAGAAAATTAGCATATTACACATGATTTTACGCCGTTTTGTCTCATAACTGGCATATTTTCTCTTGAATTTGGCTCAGCAAAGTGAAACAGGAAGTGACATCAAAGGGGAACTCTATAAGAAAAGAAACTCTAGTCTTTGTTTATTGAAACAATCTTATTTAAACTCTTCTCCAACACTCATAGTGACTCAAAATAATCTAAATAAACATCAGATTCTTCTCTAATTGTAGTAGCATCACTCTGTTTACATTCTGACATTCCCCTTTGACGTCACTTCCTGTTTCTTCACATGCAAATATCTCAACAACCGTTCATCTCAACGGCGTGAAATTTGTTTTGCAATATGTTCTCAATGTTCTCTTTCCAAAAAATGGATTCACATTTATTATAAAAATTTGATGTCACAGGCACTTTAATATGTGATGAGAAAGGTTTTACGTTCAATCACAAGCTGATCTGCTTCACCAGGTTTGTGAGCTCTGAGGTCAATCTGTTTAGATGTTTCCTCGGCAACGTGAGTAAACACCTCAAACTGTTAAAAACCACAGCTCTCACGGCTCATAAATAAAGATATTTCTACACGGTTGTTATCTGCATCAGTTTTTGGACTCAAAATGAGCGGGAAAATAAAACGACAGCTCGATTTAAAAGACAATAAGGTTTCCCAGCTTCTGAATGTTAACATGAATCTATACCTTCTCCTCTGTGCGTCGTCTCTCCTGCTCCTGGAGTCGTTGCACCTCTGCCAGCTCGTTGTTTCGGAGCTCCAGGAAGGCCCTTTGCTGTGCCTTCAGACACGCCAGCTCCTCTTCCTCCATCACCTCCAGCAGGGACTGCTCCAGAGTCTTTCCCACCAGGACCTCCAAAATGGGCTGGACTTCAACATCAAAGTCAAACAGCTGCAGAGAATAAAATCATGATACGTGGTGTTTCTTTTTTTCTTTTTTCTTTTTTAATCAGGCCAACAAATACTTTATTTGTGACCCATCACATCCAAAAGTGGGATGCGGAGAAACGGGCATGTGGGTTTAGATTTAAACGTGCAAAAATTGCATTTTGTCAAAATATAATGAAATAATGCCTTATCAATGTATCATTTCAACAAACAGTCTGAAATATAATACTAAAAAATTTTTGAAGCATTATTTTTGAGCAGTGGCAACAACAAAAAAACAGATTTTGAGGAAAAATGCCTTAAAATTTTGAATTCCATGTGAGCTAGCAATGTTTTTGTTTTTTTCCAACGAGGAAATCTTATATACAAATACTGTTTGAGGTTTCCTCTTTATACTGACATCAAAAATTACTCAATAAATTTACACAAAATTAGGATTGAGACCAAACAGTAATGTATTAATGTAAGCAACGAAACAAATTAAGTCATATCTCTAGATCCACTTATCAGGATGATCCAGGTATCAAAATGTAGCTTTTAAAGCAGGAATCTGAAAATGTAAAGAGGTCATTTTGACCAAATTTGACTTAATCCTCATTTCGATATGATGGCTCACATTTGGTATTGATGTCTACTAAAGCAGTGGTTCCCAAACTTTTTATCTTCTGACCCACAAAATATTCATTGCAAAAACTTGTGACCCGAAATATTACTGGTCTGAGTACACAAACTTTGTTAATAACCCTAAAAACAAAGGCTACATAAATATAAATACTTGTTTATACTTATTTTGTGTTTTTGTAATAAYTATAGGGAAAATATTACAGCACCAATTATTTTATTACCCTTTAAATTGATTTCTGAAGTGCAGTGGTTCACAAACTTTTCAGCTTTTGACCCACAAAATAACAGTTGTGGGCACAGGTCACTGCTCCTATTTTTTGGATGATAAACGTATCAGGTCAACTAAACATGAGCATAGTAACAATATTTATTATTCGACATTTATACATTTTAGGCAAATAAGGCAAAAATGTAATAGATTTAGAAAATTTTTCAGGACCCCACCTTGATGTTTCAGGACCCCACTTTGGGTCCCGACCCCAACTTTGGGAACCACTGTACTAAAGCATAAGGTTTTTATTTTTGTTTTTTGGATGTGAACCCACCTCTCCCTCCTCTATCTGAGTTTCAGCATCTTTGCCAGATTTGGCAGGGATGAAGAGCGGAGTCGCTGGTCTGTCCAGGAATTCATCCGTTTGGCATTCAGTGTCTGCAGCTACAATGACCGTGCTCAGTTCTTCAAGGTAAAGATCTGAAAATGAAGCACAAAAGAGAAAAAAAAGCACTTCTAGTAAAAGCTTGCATGATTGTCAATGAGTGTTTTTACCTGTCTGCACATCTATGTGCTTTCTGCCCTGCAGGGGTTCAGGGGTCCTGAGTCTGAGTCTCTGCTGCTCCAGGGCACGTTTTCGAGCGATGGCCCTTTTCCTGATCGCCTGCTGTCTTTGTATCTCAGCGAGGTCTGGCTGAGGCGGCTGTTAACGTTGGACAATAAAATATAAAGAGGAAAAATAAAGAAAAAAAACTGAGAAATGAGTGGTTGATACGTACGATCGGTATGATGTGTTGAGCGTAAGTATTTCCTCTGACAACTCGAGGATCGTACATGATGTTCACGTAATGCCGCTGAGTCCTGCAACAACAAAACAAAACAAACGGTCATGGAAAGCACTCAGCAGCTCTTCTGCAGTTTGGCTGCTTCAAAAACAGGAGTGAGTGAAATCATATTGTGCAGTTAATTGTCAGAAAAACTAATCGATTACTGACGATTAATGCCAGCAGGCCGACTGACTGCAGATTTCACTGGTCAGTCCGCTCGATGCTCCTCTCCGCTTCAAACTTCTGTAATTTATTTATCATAACTCCAGTTTTACCTGGTCTATCAACACAATTTAAAAACTGCCTGAAATCTGTAGTTTTGATACAATCTGGAACAATTTTGTACAGAGAATCTTTCCCACTAGAGTTATTTCAGTTGGACCAGGGCATGCAGGCATCTAGGGCAGTGTTTCCCAAAGTTGGGGTCGGGACCCAAAGTGCGGTCCCGAAACATCAAGGTGGGGTCCTGAAAAGATTTTCGGAATTAATTACATTTTTGTCTTAGTTGTTACAAAGGAGTGAGGTTAGTGTATTTAAAATGGATAAATGTAGTATAAAAATATTGTTACTATGCCCATGTTT